GTTTTGAACAAACAACATCTGCAAGGATTTCTGCTATTTTGCAATATAAAAATTGCTAATATTTATCCTAATTGTCTCTCTGTAAAGGAGAAATGTCAAACACAAAAGCTATCATTTTTTTTAACTTAACATCCTATCATCAGACCTCTGAATATAAAACCCACTAAAAGAATTTTAAATCTCATCCAAAGATAAGGGGAGAGAAATGGGAGATAGTACAGAAAGTAAGGCATTATGTGGAACCATATTCAGTCTCCTGAGACCTTCTAAAGAAGATTCCTGAGTACTGAGCCCAGAGTAAGGCCTAAGCACCACCAAGTGTGGTCCAAAAACAAACAAAAACCCCATAAAATAAAAAAATTTACATATGAGCAACCAACTCAATTTCTTAAAAACATTGCATTTTGTCACTATCTTCACTTTCCCTATAAAGTACACAAACTCTCAACAATCAAGAACAAAGACACTCATGTTACTAAGCTCAATGATAAATTCAATTACGTGTCTGCTAATATTCAGCTCGAGCACTCTAGCTCAGGGGGCCAAAATACATGTCTGATGCAACAAGGCCTGAGTTCAGGCCTGGTCACTGCATAGTCCCTGGAGCTTCACTGGGAGACTCCCCTAGGCAATGACCAAGGAGTAGTTTTCTAAGCAATGCCAGGGGTGGCTCAATAAAACAAAAATTCAATTCTGCTACAGAGGAAAAAAAATTGGAAAAAGATCAAACAAACTTCTGTGTACGATGTATACATAACTAGTAAATAAACACTGGGAATATAAAAAAAAGTTTTAATTAAATAAATCTATTTTTTAAAAGTAAATACAAATATGTATATAGTAAACACAGGGAAAAAAGGATCAAGAAAAACTCAAGTTTCAGACATCTATGTGCAGAAGATATTGAACAGTCAGGATATATTAAAAATGCAAACAAAGACATGAAGAACACAACGTTCACAAAGTCTTAATTTAGCTGCCCATCTGTGATTCCTATTTTGGCCCAAGTGTTTGTTCAGTCTAAGAAACACAGGTTAATTGGAGAGCTGACGCTATGGCTAGGCATACTTGCTCCTTGGATCTCTCATTTTAAGTGTCTCTTTGGTTCAGGGTACATTCCATGTGGGTCCAGTCCTTATAATCAGAATGAGCCGGGGGGCGGGGGGGTATGCAGCACCATTCTAAGTGTGACAAATAACCAATCCTTTATCTTTCCCCTTGCTTCTCTCCATGTATTTTAAATTTATGTTATAAACCATGTGATCATAATCTCTTTCTTTCTCTCTTCTCTCTCTGCACTGGATAGTGCTCAGGGCTTATTCCTGGTGCTGTGCTTCAGGATCACTTCTGGCAGTGCTCCAGGGACCATATAAGGTGCTGGGGATATCAAACCCAGGTTAGCCATGTGCAAGGCAAGCAACTTTGCCCACTGTATCTATGCTCCAACCTATTCTTTTTAAAACATTTTCTTCACTTAAGTCTCTCAAGTCTCTACTCATAGTTCTCTTATTATCTCATCAGTCATGTGTCTTATCCCCCCTGAAATATAAAGACATCTTTACTACTGGTTTACTACTTTCTTAATACATGCACATTCTAACAGCTTTATATAACATCTGCAGTTCAACATTTAGACCTCTAGACCTATACCTCTTACAGAAACTACACACAGTTTAAAACCAAACTATCTATCTCTATTCTCCGCTTCAACCACGCAGTCTCCATCTCCCTGACTCCCACCTTAGACCACTACTGTAGATTCCCAATTCAGCAGGCACAGTCATCCTTCAAAATATAGATTAATCCATATCAATCCTCTGCTCAAAAGTAATCTGTCTTCCATTTCCTTCTTTGTAAAACCTAAACTGGCACTATGACCTACAATATCCTACTTGCTTTGCCCCCAGATCTACCCTCACCAACTCAGTTCCGAGAAAACTAACCTCTGTGACATTACATAAATATTTCAAGTGTAATTCAGCTCCAAGCTTTTTATACTCACCACTCCCTCTTCCAAGATCTTAATATTCATATATGGTATATAATACTGAACATAAAATGATTGATTATACACAACACAGCCAACCCGGGTTCAATTCCTCCGTCCCTCTTGGAGAGCCCAGCTAGCTACCGAGAGTATCCCGCCCGCACGGCAGAGCCTGGCAAGCTCCCAGTGGCATATTCGATATGCCAAAACCAGTAACACATCTCACAATGGAGACATTATTGGTGCCCACTCGAGCAAACCTATGAACAACGGGAGGACAATGCTACAGTGCAATACTGAATATTCAATGTTAATTTTGAATATTTGATATTCATGGTAACTGAATGTCCTCTGTAGCACTGTCCTTCTTTTGTTCATTGATTTGCTCCAGCAGGCACCAGTAACATCTCACAACAAATTGTGAGACTTGTAATCACATCACGGATAGCTTGCCAGGCTTTGCTGTGGGGGCGAGATACTCTCGGTAACTTGCCGGGCTCTCCGAGAGGGGTGGAGGAAACAAACCCGGGTCAGACGAGTGCAAGGCAAATGTCCTACCCGCTGTGCTATCGCTCCAGCCCTTGATATTCATATGGAATATAATATTCATATAGCATCTTAATATTCACATGGTAAATAAAAGTTCTGTGTTTGATCCCCAGCACTGCATGGCCCCATCTGCTCAAGCACCAATGAAAGCACCCTCCTTCACCTGCCAACAAAAGAATTATACACTGAGGCATTTAGGGGGTAAAAGGAGATATTATATCATAATTTACTGGTAAAGTTCAGGAAGAAAAAAACTGTCATGAGAAGATAAATGACAAATGTGGCAAGTGCTGCCATTTGGGAAATCTGAGTGAAAATATATGGGAATTTTTTTTGCAATATTTCTATACAGTTTCTGTAATTTCAAATCAAAATTTTGTCGAGATTCAAAAAAAATTTTTTTTAGTATTTATTTATTTTGCATTTTGGGTCATACCCAGCAATGCTTAGGGGTTACTCCTGGCTCTACACCCACAAACTACTCCTGGCAGTATGGGGGACTATATGGGATGCCAGTGATTGAACCCAGGTCAGCCACGTTCAAGGCAAACGCCCTACCCACTGTACCATCACTCCAGCCCTCTAAAAAAGATTTTAAGGAACAACAACAACAACAAAAGACATAGCCACTTAAACAGGGGCCTGTTCAATAAGCAGAATGCATGCTTTGCATGCAGGAGGCCCATGTTTGATCCTAGTATCACATGGTTTTCCCATAATTCATTAAGAACCCCTGTATACTGCTGAGTATGCAACCAAAAAATTTAAAGTTTTTGACTTTATCACCAGAAAAGATACTTCCAATATATTATGGGAGCTATTAGCTGAGATTTTAAAACATAATCTCTGTAAGGTGCTGGTGTAGGGAGGGCCTGGGCATGGTTCGGGGTACCATGGGGGTCAGAGGCAAGCAGGAAGAGAGAGAGAGAGAAAGAGAGAGAGAGAGAGAGGCACTTGCAACAGTGACCCTCAGGCCACAGAGATGGGACGGCCCCAGGCACTCACTCTGCCGTCCCATTCCCACAGCACAAAGGACCCCTGAGCACTGAGTCACGAGCAACCCCTGAGCACACCAATGTGACCCAGAAAACTGAGACCACAAAACATTTGGCGGGGATACAGCATGACACACGTTGGCAGCATTGCAGGGGCACAGGGGCCCCTGTTCCCAGTGACAGAGAGCAAAAGGACGCTGTGTCCTGAGTTAGGGACTCGGCTTAACCCAGCCCTAGAGCCCGGGTGGGAGGGACTGTGGAGACACCGAGTCCCCAGGACCCCACATGTTCACGAGCTCGGCAGCACTTCTGGTGGAAGCCCCTTGGCAGAGCCACTGTGTCCACAGAGGGGGGGATGTGGCATCTGACATGCATGGTAATCACTGGGGTCCGTCCCCAGCACTGCCCAGGAACCCAGCTTCTGGACAGTGTCTCTACCCAGCCAGGGGCCTGGCCAGGTTCGATTCCTCCGTCCCTCTAGGAGAGCCCAGCAATCTACCGAGAGTATTCTGCCTCCACAGCAGAGCCTGGCAAGCTCCCCATGGCGTATTCGATATGCCAAACACATTAACAAGTCTCACAATGGAGATGCTACTGGTGCCCGTTCAAGCAAATTGATGAACAATGGGAGGACAGTGCTACAATGCAGTGTTAATCTCTATAAATTCTCCTTTCAAGTTCAAAATAAAAACTTATTTCCATGAAAGAAAACTATATAGCGCTGCTAGACTTATAATGTAGCTCTTGCAATAATATAAAAAACCCAAGGTCCCTCACCTTATTTTGCCTACTACCCCCTAGCACAAGCGGCCAACATGGCCGACCCAAGTTCGATTCCTCCGCCCCTCTCGGAGAGCCCGGCAAGCTACCGAGAGTATTCGATATGCCAGACACAGTAACAACAAAGTCTCCAATGGAGACGTTACTGGGCCCGCTCGAGCAAATCGACGATCAACGGGAGGGCCTTTACCTTTACCTTTACCTTTACCCCCTTTTCAGAAATACAACAAATAGTGCCCCACACAGAAATTTACCTTCTTTACGAGGACAAACAGAAAGTTCCCTATACCAATTTCTCTGGAAGTAACCCCCTCATTCAAGCACTTCCGAGAGGAATGATAATGCCCATTTTCGGAAACAATGCTCTTCAATAAAATTGGTATGAAATTACTTCTAGTTACAATTAAAACCGAGATACAATACCATAAAAAAATTCATAATAAAAATTTTCCAATACTCTAATTTTACATAATAGAAGTTCTATTTTGTTTAAAATACATTTAAATAAAAATAATCTGGAAAGCGGTACCTACCATACCGAGAATTTGTACAAAGAATTTAATTAAAATACCATAAAATATTGAATAAAATATCTTAGCATATTACAGAGATACAAGTTGATTTCATTTGCATATGTGTCAATAAGTCACTTATAAAAGGAGATACAACAAAAAGAGGCGCAAAATTACCTTCATGGACTGTAATGCCACAATTGTCACACTGAATTATTTCATCAGCATCCCCGCTATTATCTCCAAGACAAACACAGCAAATCATAATATGGTCCATTTTTTGAGAACTCCAGTTTTGACTCTTCTCAAGAATCAGCGAGTCCTATTAATATTAAAATATATCAAAAAATCACATATTTAAATATAAAGGTAATTTTTATCAACTTATTTAATGCATTTCCAAAATTATACCTTTATCCATTCTTCAAAGTGCGCTAAATCGAAACAGAATACCTTTTTGAAAGGACCTTCTAAGTAGCCTCTATCTAATTTTAACTTCTATGCAAGTCCCAAATCTTCTCTCTCTCATCTAGGAAATGAAAAAGTAGGCGTGCAACTAATAATTCTCCATCTGCTTTACCGTTTTGAATGATAATTATGTCCCTTAAAAGAGGAAAAAGGAAAATTTCATCCACAATTAACTGTTAATCCCATATATGGGTATAAAAAATAAAAAGTATGGTTCCTAATTTGGAAGCTTATAATCCTAACCTGTAAATCCTTTTTATAATCCCTACCAAGGGGAAACAAGAAAGACAAATATAAACAAGAAATAATTCTAGGTAACATAAGCAAGTATGTACATGATGACATAGTTTAGACTCTGTATTTCTTAAATGGAAGAATGGAAGGAAATTCAGGCTACTGTATAATAACTCCAAGAGAAGGGCTGGAGTGATAGGACAACAGGTAGGGCATTTGCCTTGCATGCAGCCAACCCGGGTTCGATTCCCAGCATCCCATATGGGCCCCCAAGTACGGCCAGGAGTAATTCCTGAGTGCAGAGCCAGGAGTAACCCCTGTGCATCCCTGGGTGTGACACAAAAAGCAAACAAGCAAACAAAAAAACCCTCCAAGGGAACCTACATAGATATAAAGACAATTAGGTATCATTTCTATGTATATATGTGTGTGCATGAATATATATACATGTATATGTATGTGTATATGTATATGTATATGTATATGTATATGTATATGTATATGTATATGTATAGAACACCAGCTAAGAAAGGGTGCAAGCTGACTTGTTGGTAAGAGTCACAATACTATATTAATGTCAAGAAGTATCTGGTGGAAAACAGTAATAAAGACATTTCACTAATTTTAAAAAGAAAATGGAATATATAATAGACAAATGTAAAGTCAATTTTAAGAATTTGCTTCCTATAATGAAAATCTTCCGTATTAATGGATTTGAAGTTTAAATGAAACATTAACAAGATACTGTTTCTTACATTTACAAATTAGGTTTAGCATTACATGCAAAAAAAAAAGATGACAATGGAGGGTCTGGAGCAAAAGTACAGCAGGTGGGGTGTTTACCTTTCATTCAGTCAAGCAAAGTTTGATTCCCCAGCACTCAATGTGATCCCTCAAGCCCACCAGGTGTGAATCCTGAGTGCAGAGCCAGTGGCACAAAACCCCAATACACACAGCAAAAAAAAATGGCAAATGAGGATTTTTAAGACCTAGCCAGATTCAGAAAAATAATAGGATCATTCATATACTACAAACGTTGTTTCATACTAACGTTTTTTCATATTTTTATATTCTTCTAAACTCAACCCATATCTAAACTTTTAGAGTTGAATAACACTTGGTATTCATTAATGTCATTTCAATGTTTCCCATATAATACATTAAACTTACACTGATACACAAAATAGTTCAGAAGGGAAACAAGTAGACATTTCTCTTGAGAACCCTAGTATTATAAAGTTTTATTATTTTGCATCTCTTTGTTAAAATACATATAATTTATAGTTTGGGGCTTTGGGCATGGCTAATTTAAAAAATTCCTAAAAATAAATCATGTTTTATAGTACTTGGTGCTGTAAGAAAAACAAAAATCTGTCCAGACTTTCACCACATTAGCCATCTCTAATGTGTAATAGCATTTGACTTTAAGTCAAATAATTCATTTGTTATCAATCAATTCTCACTAACAGATACTTAACATTGAAGTTGTTGATTTTTCATCTACAAAATTCAGAAACTAGCAAGCACCACAAAGGTGGCCCTACTAGCCCCCAGCACCATTGTATCTGGCCAGCATCATATCATGTCTAAACAGTAAAACATTTGCCCAGTTTGCCACCAGCTCTTGAATACTTCTTGGGAGAAACAACCCCTCCCACTACACACACACACACACACAGAGAGAGAGAGAGAGAGAGAGAGAGAGAGAGAGAGAGAGAGAGAGAGAAAGAGAAAGAGAGAAATTAATAATACCTAGCTCGGGGGCCAGAGTGATAGTACAGCATGTAGGGTGTTTGCCTTGCAGTGGTCAACCTGGGTTCAATCCCCAGCATCACATATGGTCCCCCGAGCACCACCAGGAGTAATTCCTGAATGAAAAGCCAGGAGTAACCCCTGAGCATCGCTGGGTGTGACCCAAAAAGCAAAAAAACCCTAGCTCATGAAATTGTTGTGAGAATTAATGAGTTAAAACAGGTCATCCTCTGATATATGTTTTTCTACAAATTCTTTTTTCCCTTTCTCCTCTCTTTTGCACTTCCAGGTGTTTCAAGAAACACGAGTTAAACATGAGTTAAACTGGGGAATCTTCTTTTGAAATTCCAAAACAAAAATTTCAAGTCTCAATATTATCATATATTTTCTTGCAGTAACTTTAAAAGAGACATGTTCTTAGAATGCCATATAAAAAGTTAAAGAAAGGGGAAAAAAACACAAAGGGGTCATGGAGATGGCTCAATAGGCTGATGCATATTCCTGGCATGCTGAGGGCTCTCAGTTTGATCCCTTGCACACCATGACCTCACACACTACCAAGAGTTGCCTTCATGGGCCCCAGTACCACTGGAAAGGACCTCTCCAAATTAACAAATAAAAGCAAATACAAAAATTGTTTTTTACAACAGATTCTCTCTACATATAATACCATTTAGAGGCAAAAAATAAAAACAACACCTATCAAAACTAGTTATTTCTGGCCCTCTAATTCTCATCATTTCAGATTTACTAAAAATGCAATACATAAAGAGAAAGAAATGGAAGGACAAGAGTCTGACATTTTTACTCTAGCCAAGTTGTTAACCAATAGTATATCAGTGGGGATATCTGAATAACATTCTCTTGAGAATCATAAGCTTTCTTTAACAGATCAAATATGTGGATAAGCACACTTATGATCAAATTAAAAGGTTATTTATTATCAATTTTAATTAGCATATTCTCAAAGTTCTATCTTTCAAGTTTCTGGCAAACATAAAGTATAAAATAAATAATTTGAAAATATAAATTACAAAAAAGACAGAAATAGGAATAGTAGATTTTTTCTCCATAGGAATGCAGGAGTTCACCCCACAACTCGTGTGGTGTATGTGTCTGTGTGTGTGTGTGTGTGTGTGTGTGTGTGTGTGTGTGTGTGTGTGTAGTGCTAGGGATCAAGCTCGGGATCACATTCATACAAACCACGCACTGTTGACTGAGATACATCCCTAAGCCTCAGAATATAATAATTCTAATGGCATAAGAGTATCATGTCAGGGAGTTACTTTAGTCAGAATACATGCTTTGCACTTATCAGGTCCTGGGTTTGCTCTCTGGGCACCAGAAAAAAATAATAATAATAATAAAAGGTACCACAGCAATAAGTCAATGACTAATTCTTTTGATTTTGCCCTTTGTATTTAAAGTTGATCCAAAAATCTGAGTAATTTTAAATTAAACTTTCCATAGTCTCCAAAATGTTTAAAGTTTATTTATATATTCCATAACAACACACACATATAAAATTAAAAAAACCAATATATGCATTCCACACAGATAATTACAGATGATCAATAGAATAGTAAATCATGTACTTAAGTAAATTCTAGGGCAGGATCAATAGTACAATGGGTAGGGCATTGTATTGTAGTTGGCTGACCAGGGTTTGATCTCCAGTGTCCCATATGGTTCCCCGAGCACTGCCAGGAGTGATTCCTGAGCGCTGATCCAGCAGTAAGCCCTGAGCACCGCTAAATGTAGCCAAAAAATAAAAAATGGAAATAAAATAAGAGGAAAGGAAATTCTAATACACTTCATGCAACAGCAGAATGAGAGAGCTGGAGAGATGGTACAGAAGCTAGGGTGCCTGCCTTCAGAGCCAGCCCTAGTTCAATGCCCAGCATCTCATAGGCTCCCAAGCACCACCTGTAGAAATTTCTGAGTGGAGAGCCAGGAATAATGCCTAAGCATAGTCAGATGTGGCTCAAAAACAAAACTAAGGGGAAAAAATGAAAAACATCCTATTACTCTGGAAAAATAATTATTGAACCAAGACCTCTGACCAAAAATTTTCCCTCTAAACTTTTAAAGATTCACTTCTCAAGAATCTCAAGTGATTTTTATACCTTGTTACAATGATTTTTTTGTTTTGTTTTAGGGTCACACCCAGTGATGCTCAAGGGTTACTCCTAGATCTGTACTCAGGAATCACTCCCGGCAGTCCTCAGGGAACCATATGGGATGCCAGGGATCAAACCCTAGTCAGTCACGTGCAAGGCAAGCACCCTAACTGCTGTACTATCTCTCTGGCTGCACTGATTTTTTTAAGACCTTAGAGCAATTTCCCTATTTTTAAATGTAATTAGGAAAGTCTGGAGGCCCAAAGAGAAGTGTTGACAAAATATTATATATTCATTTAATGAAAAAACAGATAAGAACTGCCATTTCTCCACACAGCAAAAGATCAATTAATTTAATGTAACAAAGCTTGGTTGTCTGTGATTTATGAATTATTCACTTATTTATTGATTTGGAGGCCACACCTGGCAATGATCAGGGCTTACTGCTAGCTCTGCACTCAGGAATTACTCCTAGTGGAACTCAGAGGACCCTATGGGATGCCAAGGATTGAACTTGGTCAGCTATGTGCAAGGCAAGATCCCACCTGCTGTCCTAGCTCTCCAGCCCCAATATAACAAGAGTTTTTTGGGGGGAAGGTTTCTGGGTCACACCACCTGCTATAGTCCCAAATCCTCTCCAAGCGATAACACCACTGACAAAAGCAAGTACCTACACAGAAAATACAGGTTATCGAATGTCCAATTCCAGAATTGTAGCTCTCACATTATGGGTAAGGCTCTTCCAGGTAAAAGTAAAAGCTACTCTCAGAACACTAAGATTGTTTGCCATTATCACTCCTTCTTTCACAGGGTGGGTGAGGTCTTTTAGAAAATCTGTGACACGGGATAGCATCATCAATCTAACAGCTTGGCTGCCCGAAATAAATTTCATTTTTATAAAGTTCTAAGTTTTAATTTTTGTTTTCTGCATTTTTCTTTTATTTTTTTCATTGAATTTTCACCTTTTTACTTCTATTTTTACATTATCAAACTTGAAATGGTAAATATTAGCAGACATACTTTAACATAATTGAGGTCCTCTATAATATATTAAGGGTAAAAAGGCACTGAAACCAAAAATTTAAGATCACTATTCCAGAGTATTTTAAGACTCTGTATGACAGGGCTATTAAGCAATATAAAAAGGTCTTGCCCCTCCAAAACAAAAAACTAAAAAATGGTCAAATTCCCCTAAAATGTTTCATATTATAAGTTTTTTTTATCTACAATAATCAGAGATCTAACAGCCTGGCTGCCCAAAATAAATTTTTTAAAAAAGAGTTTAAATAATAGTATTAAAAGAAAAATAGCAATGAAGCTTTCAGGTAGAATATTACTAAATGAAGTTAACCTTCTGATGTTCTACATTTCTGTACAGCAGAGTAAAAAGGAAAGCTTGTGCAATTAACAAAAATCATTAATGTAGTCTATCAGAAACTTTGTGATAATTTTATCTATGAAGGGATCTGCAGGAACAGGAATGATAGTGCAGCTGGTAGGGTACTTGCCTTGCACATGGATGACATGGATTTGATCCCTGGACCCACACATGGTCCCCCAAGTCCACCAAGAGTGATCCTGCAGCACAGTGCCAGGAATAACCCCTGAGCACAGCCAGGTGTGGCCCCAAAATCAACAACAAAAAAGTGCTCTGTAACTTCATTTTGGGGGGACTGTTCATTAACTGAAATATATAAAATCCCTTCGTTTACTAGTCTCTTTTAATAAGAGAAAGCTGATCACCAACAATGCATCTTTGCATCACAAAGTACACTGTAGGGTCTTAAGCAATATGTTATATATTAAAGATTTAACAATGTATATAAATGGATAAAGTATATTTTACGAGAAAAATTTCTAAACAAATGAGGATCCTCCCTATACCTTAACATTAAATCTAATCTATACAATTTCTACTATTAGTTAGCCTAAATTTTTTTAACTGTCAGGCTAATAAAAATGAGGGAAATGATGCTGTCAAAGGTAAACTTTCGTAACAGATACAGAACAAGTGCTAAGTACTATAAGATAGACTGGTATATGCCTAAATTTAGCTATTGGATTCTCCAAACCTGTTTCCTAAATTCAAATTAGTTGTATGGAACTCATTGTGCTACAACATTATAAATCTTAAATTTAATTGCAAATCACAATGCTTCTTTACCTGAAGGTAAGAATTAGCACTGACACTGAGGTAGGCAACATTCTTCATAGGAAAGTGGGCAACTTACCAAACAAAGCCAATGTTTATAAATATAAAATATAAGCTTCTGTTTCATCCCTACTGTCATATGTAGCCCCTCACAGCCTGCTATAACTTTGGTAAGAAAATCACCAAAATTTTATTGAAATTTAAAAGGTAATCACTGCTATGTAAAACCTGAAAGCAGAAAAGTATAAAAAAGAATAAAACACAGCTGGAAAATCTTTCTACCAGTTTAGCCTACTTCAATGATATGGGGGAAAAAATAAATGTTTGGTAAATGTTTGGTAAATAAATGAAATCTGGTAACTAGAAACACATTAATGGAAATGAAATACAATTATCAGTTCTACATGTGATGTAACAGGTACATCTACATGTAAGAAACAACTAAATCTCTAAAAGAAAAACATATACATAAACACACAGACAAAGAGACACAAATATGTTTGACTGAAGAGTCTTGAATGCTGCATCTTGGGCCCAATGGACAAACCTAACTTTCAGTAGTAGAACTTCAAGTGAAGAACTGAATCATTACGGTAGTTTTATGACAGGAATGTTTGTTTTGTGAGAGAAATGTTTGCTTTCTTTCACTTCTTTGTGGAGATTTATTCACTAGATATATGTAAACACGTAGCTTTTATTTACTCCCATATAACTAAAGGAAAAATTTGGTGACTATTCAGATGATGGGTGCTTAACTGAAAAAAAATAATAACCTTTAAAATGAACCTTTAAAAATCTCTAAAAGCCTAAGACAATCATCATGTTGTTCATTGTCCTGCTCTAAAATATTCTAAAGTCTACAATTTTATGTAAATATGAACATGACTAGGTTCAAACAAAATAACCTTTATTTTCATATTCCAATGAGTATCATTCAGTAGTCCTATGTAGAACTGGGAAGGAGCGCACAAATTTGAATGGAACACATTACCATTTCCCAAGTCTATAGGTATAGAAATTTTTAAATATATTAACTGTGCGCTCCTTGAGTGCGATGACTGTGAGTTCCTTGAGAACGGTGACAAACAGTAGATACTCAATAAAGACTGGTTGGCCAATGAATAAATGTTAGTTTACTCATTCACTCCCATAGATTTCAAAAAAGCCACTTAATATAATGAGTAGAATTTAGAGAATGAGTGGGTTTATAATAAGTAGGTTTAGAGAAGGATTCCCTTTCCCCAGACAAACAGATATCATAAAAATTGGGTTCATCTACCTCATTACTCTTGCTTTGAGATAGTGTCAGGCTATCATTGGTCAGTTCCTCATCATCACCACTGTTTCTGCTAAGAACTTTACTCTTCTTCTTCTTGCAACCCCCTTCACTGGCAGGACTGCTATGATCTTCATCATTGCCTTCGTCATTCTCATCCTCATCACTCACACTTCCCTCATCTTCATCATCCTCATTGTCTCCATCACTTCCCTCTTTCTGAGATGCAGATCTTCCCTTTCTCTTTACTATGGTGGGTCGCCAATCATTGTCATCTTCACTGTCATAATCATCCATGTCATTCAGTTCTTCCATGGAAACAAAATCCAAAAGTGGCCGATTTCGACGAAGGTTCCACTTTTTGGGTTCACTGACTTGTTCCTCTGTAGTTGCTGTTGTGGTGGGGGCAGAAGGAGAAGTGTTAACAGTAGGAGGACTTGTGGCTGGTGTGCTGGCAGCAGCAGAAGCAGCCACATTATCAGATACTGTTGCTTTTTCTTTCTCCTTCTCTTTCTCCTTCTCTTTCTCTTTTTCTTTCTCCTTCTCTTTTTCCTTCTCTTTCTCCTTTTTCTTTCTAGGTTTTTCTCCATTTTCTTCCTCCTCTTTCTTTTCTATTTTAATTAACTGTTTTTCCGATGACAGTATTTCTTCCTCTGTCGAATTTTTAAGTGGTTCTTCTTTAACTTTAACATCTTCATTTAGTTCTTCCTCCAAAATATTTTCTTCAGAATCACTACAGGAACCTTCTCCACTGTCCTTTGAGGGATCTTCACTTCCATTACCACTCCCTTCTGAATCTGTTGAAAATATGAGAAAAAAAACCACACATATGTAGATACATACACACACACACACACAACATTGACACAAATGAAACCACCAAAATTTGTGAAAAACTTGCAAAACAATATAAACAAATTTAAGTCAAAGGATGGTAGACATTCCCAACCAGATTAAATAAACTGATGAAGTTGATATAATGATTTAGTTAAATAAATTACTAATGAAGATGAATATACGTAACTAAATTAAAATAGGCAAGAGGCAATTTTTTTCTAAAAGTAAATATGCTTTTTTTTCCTAATCGGGAACCTGAATTCAGCTTACTAATGATAGAATATAGACCATTTCCTTTCCCTTAAATTTTATTTTCATAAACTGTACAACTTCGAGCAATGAGCCACATTCAGAGCAAAAAAATCTGACATAAAAAACCCTTGTTTCATTGATATCACTCTTTACCCAGCAAAAATGAACATAGACATTTATGACATCAATTTTTACCATAAACCAAGTCAATTTGAGGTATTAACTACAGAGATGATGACACAATAGAAATGCCACTGAAAATGAAGGTTGCAAGAGAAGTTATCAGTTTTCCTGCTTTTTAGGATACTCTTCATATAGATAAGAGTCACCAAAGCTCTTAAAAAGTTATGGTAATAATTACTGAAACACTAGAATTAGAAAGTTGGTCAATTTTTTAAGAAATCAGTCCATCCTGAAAATGAGCAATACGTTCTAAAACAGACCAAGGACATGAAGAAGCTCATGCAGAACAATAAACTTTTTAACATGTTTCTTACATCATACATAGGGCATTACATGCCTTCTTTACTCTACACACCTAAAAGCTTTCTCATCTTTCAGCAGATACTCATATTAAATGTTAGCAACTAATCATATAAATCTAAACTATTTAGGAAAAGAGAAAATTTGGAAGAGAAAAAACTGTAGAGCAGAAGAAAGGGGGAAACCAACTAGTCACAGTAAGTCTTACCCAATATTGATAGAAAAATCTATAGGTTAACAATTTTTCACACCTGTAGCCAAGAAAAGAAAATTTTAAATGATGACAAAACCTCTGGTTACAGACCATTTTAATTTCAATTAGCTCAACCAGTCTTGCCCCCAATAATTTGCCTGACATTAAAAGTGAAGGAAGTTACCAGTAATTGCAAATTCTTCACAAATAATTGATTAAAAAAAAAACAGAAAATAAAAAAACTGAAAAACCCTGCAAGTAAATCACGTAAAGAAGACAAGGTCAGCAGATGCTGACTGGTGTCATAAAATCTTTATCAATCTCAAGATGATCAGGCAGGTATCTACAGGTTATTTAAGAATATTGTGAAATAACATTTTCATCCTAAACAATCTTGCATGGGACATAAGAGCAATCATGCAAGTTAACAATTCCTCATCTGAAACTTTTGGTGCTTAATGTGTTACAGAATTTACTTTTTTTTCATATTTTAGAGAGGTAGCACAGCATATTGATATTAAGTTAACGCCTCCAGTAAAATGTAAGGTACTGTTCTATGATCAAACACATTTTTGCAGAAGAAGTAAAAATATATACAACTATGATATATAAGCCATATAAAAATAAACTGCTATCAATTCCAGCCAGGTTTTAACACCAAATACATTTGTGCCAAATTTGGAAATATTTTTGGATTTATAAGCATGTGGATTTTAAAAAAGAATGTGAAACCAATGCCATCACAAATAACTAATTTCTTTTTAACTGAACAGTTCTAAAAAAAATCCTTAAAAATTATAATTTTATATCACTCACAATTAAACCCAGTCTACCAAGAAAAGCAAATTCTGATTAAAAGAAAACAAATTAAAACAATTTCTAAACTTTTTTATATAAGAAAATAATAATATTAAGAGCTAGGGGGCCAGAGTGATAGTATAGCCAATAAGGGTGTTTGCCTTATATACAGTTGCTCCAGATTTGATCCCCGGCATCCCATATGGTCCCCCTTAGCACCACCAAGAGTGATTCCTGAGTGCAAAGCAGGAGAAAGCCCTGAGCATCACCGGGTATGGCCCCAACTCATAAAATTAAAAAATAAGCAGAACTGACCAGGTACCATTATACAAGGCTGACTGAAAAACTGGAACACCTCACAAGTAATGCCATAATTAAGAGCTGGAAAACTGAGAAATGGAGTTTTTACCAGTAATTTCAGATTTAAAAATAAATCAACAGACAATAAGATTAACCATGGAAGAAACGTGAGTATTTAATTAAAACTGAGGGTAAGTTTTACAGAATGTCAGTTATATTTACAGTAGTTTTGGTTATTGCCAGAGCCACCACTCATGTCTTAAAGTGAAAAGAGTCAGAAATAGCTCAATAGACATAGGGCATGCTCTGTACCGTGGGGGTCTAGGTTTGACCCCCGGTACAGCATGGTACCCAAGCACTGGGGGATGTGGCCACAAAACAAAATAATAATAATTTAAAAATAATAATAATAACATCAATCATATAGAAGAAAATTAATACTATCTGATAATACCTGAGTAGAAAGCCAAACTTTAAAATTTTAAATCTTATACTTTCTATTAAAATGAGATTTTTCTTACAAATCCAAATGCTAGAGGCTTACCTAACCCTTCCCTCTAAATATAACATTTTAGGGGCCAGAGAAATAATACAGTGGGTAGGAGTTTGATTTGCACTTGGATGAACCAGGTTTGACCCTTATAGTTCCCTCACACAAGTCTGCCATGAGTGATCTGTGAGTGCAGAACCAGGAATAAACCCTGAGCACTGTTGGGTGTGACCCCAAAACAAACAACAACAAAAAAAATCATATATATATTATATATATATCACATTTATCCACATTCCAACTGTAGGAATCAGAAATATACCTCAGATCTCTGAAAAATTATATCATTCTTTGACCTCTGAAAAATAACTTCATCTAATAAGTCATCACTTCTTTTTGTTACGTATTTATTTAAGGAGATATAAACAATGTTCAGTTCCTAACATAGCTTTGAATAACAACAATGAGAAAAGGCCTCTTGTCTATAATTATAATCTTATAGAATACAAAGAAAAATGTTCTAACACTAAAAATTCAAATTATGCCTCTGTGCAAAGTAACAAATTCACAGAAAGAAGGAAGGGAGAGAGGGAGGAAACTCAAACAAAAGAAATTACTGACAAAGATTCAGGACCAGTAAGAGAACACAGTATTTAAGGCCTTGTATGTAGCCAACCATAGTTCAATAAACGTTCCTTCAGTACCCCCTGACCATCTCCAGGTATAGTCCTGGTGGCTCCCTGAGCATCACCTGAGTCACCCAGGTAATACCCGTGCCAAAGCAGCACCAAATCCTCAACACTTTTACAAAATTGTCAGCTCCAGTTGCCCAAGATCTTTGGGAGTAACACGTAGAGTCCCAAGCATCACTTGGGATGCTTCTACAAAAAACAGCATTAGGTTTGGGAAAAGGAGGTAGTTCAACTGATTGAACACATGCTGTGCACACAAGAAGCCTCGGTTACATTCCCAGCACCACATGGTTCCCGAGGAGTGACACATGAAAACAGAGTCAGGAATGACCACTGAGCACCACTGGGTTGGGCAAAAAAAAAAAAAAGAAGAAGAAGAAGAAGAAGAAAAAGAAGAGAAGAAAGGAAAAGAAAGGTGGAGGAGAAGGGAGAACAGTTAAGTTAGAGTCTATAATGAGAACATTTGTTTACATTAGAAAGGAGCCTTTAAAACTGAATTTCTACTTTTTGTTAGTTCAATAAAAGGTGTTTCTCTCAGGATATTGAGCTCAGAAGCAGAGAATGCTCTGCACTGGTTCAACCCCAGGTATCATGAAAAAAGAAACTTTCTCACACATACAACATATCCAAATTTCTCTAAGCAATAACTATTTCAACTACCAAATATTTATTACAGCTTATAAAATTTTAAAATCCTTCAAGAACTCCTTCACAATATGCAATAGCTAAGTTGCTCCCTGAAAAATACTAAATAATATCATTTAATTTTGTCTTACATTAGATTTGCAGTATAAAATATCATCTTTGCTCATCAATTCTAATTATTTATTCTTTCCATTCCTCCATCTTGTGGAGGTTCCCAAACTTATTTAACCTACCACCTTCTTTTCAGAAAAAAAAAAAATTTGCTTTAAATCCACCTGGAAATCTACCTTCTTTAAGCAAGCAAACAGAAATTCCCCCACCATAGCACCAAAGGCTACTACCACCCCCGTGAATCATTTCAGGCCCTTGCAGGGGACAGTACTGTCCACTTGAGGAAACACTGATATAGTTCCAGTCATCAGTACTATATATCAGTACTGATATGTGTATAATCTATATACAAATATATAGAAATGTTTGTATACATATAGATACAAACACAATAGGTAATGGATCATCAATCTACTGATTATTCAGTTATATTCTTAAGGTCACCTTTGACTTAAATCAACAGAACTAATTCTCTATTTCTTATAGTTCTAGCTATGCATCTTGCATTTTAAAGATAAACATAGAGCAGTGATTCCCAAGTAGGAACAACTTTGTCCCACAAGAGGACACAAGGTAATTTTCAGTCCACAGATTAGCTGCTATGAAAGGGTGGAGGGTGTGGAGGAAAGTAGGAAATGATACTATTGGCATTCAGTAGGAAAAATACAGGGATTGCTACAGAACATCCTACTATGTACAGGACAAACCTCCACAATAAAGAATTATCCAATTCAAATACCAGTAACACCAAGGCTGAGAAGGTGACTTAGCATATAAAACCTCATTTTAACCTCATTGCACTTTCCCAGGCTGTTCTCTTATTATTTTATTTATTTCTGAAAACCAAATATAAATGGTTTCCAGATGCCACACTAACAGTTATTGCCTTCCCCACCTACAGTTCTATTTTTTCAGTTCCTAGTGCAACTCTTTCATCATTTAACTGTTCTCTATATAGTCTAAAGTAATCCCATCTACTTTGAAACACTTGGACTACACGTCATCAATCAAGTCGTCTACCATTATTTCAAAGCTTAATCTTTCTAGTAATAAAATTTCTTTGTTAATTCCACATATTATCTGGCACGATGCTTTAAGTAAAACTAGAGATACTGAACTTACCTTGGTCGACCTACTCATTGTTGGGTTAAGCACAAAATAGTACCAAAGTTTCAATCTCTGTCAGATAAATTATTATTTTGTAGCATGGTCTAACTAAACTACAGTTTTATATCTAAAATTAAGCCTTTTCCTTTGACCAAGGGATTTAGGAGGACACAGCATATTAATAAAAGTAATCAACACACTCCTCTTTTGAAATACCCAGCAGATATAGCAGACCACTAAGGGGAGTCTATTTTCTAACCTTTCCCCAACTTCTTGTTCCTTCCTGTGACACCTTGTTTCCTTGTTTCTTATTCCTCCTTATTTACTTCCTGTAAGCTCCCATCCTACCAACTAGCCCCCCAGTCTCATAACGTGTGCCCCCATCTATGTAACTGTTAACTATGGCCCCCTTGCAATATCTGAGAGCCTACAGCGAGTCGTGTGTCCCCCAGTTGATAAATGCTGGTCTATTCTATCCTAAATGTCTCCTGTTTCATCCCCAATCCTAGATCTAAGTCTCAAAAATAAACACTTCAAATAGGCAAACCATGAAATTGCCACTATTTTCCTGATTTTGACCCACAAAACCAGTAATTTCATATGGCATTACACTTTGACAATGCTATACAGGATTATTCTGATTGTCAATACCATAATGTAAACATATTTTTTCGTCACTTTGGGATTCATTAATTATAAAGTTTACTGACTGTCCTCAACTCAAATATTATAAATTCAGTGTAAACTTTTACATTAGAGCAAAATAAAAGATTAACAATTTTCACTTGAACATTTGCTGACTGTAACAGATTTATTAAGTGTTGATAATCACATGCCAATCTCATAGCAAGTTATTTTTTAGCAATATGCATTGTTTTCTATCATCTGCAAAGCATATTAATAACATTATGTTTATCTGCAAAGGTATTTCATTGTCTGTATTTTTATAAAAGCTGAACACAGACATGAAGTTTTGTAGTCAAACTTTCAGTTTCCAAAATGAACATCAGAGGAAACTGATGCACAAAACCAGTTAGCAAAAATTTAGACCAACCAATAAAGCACCTTAACATTAAGTTCTTAGGAAGTCAGCAGTTCAGTCAATAAGACATTTCAATTTAACACAGACTGTTTTGAAAGACACCATAATGGGACGGAAGTTTATTATTTTTCCACTTCCAATTTAATCTCCTATTCAGAAGTAGGATTAGGATTCCACAACTCAGCATGTTTGAAAACCAATTAAATCTAATCCAAGAGTTTCAAATGAAGTCTGATGATCACAGGCAGAGTATAAAAACATTCAGAGGCCAGAGAGACAGCTCAAAGGACTAAGTGCATACTCTGCATGCGGGAGGCCTAGGTTCCATCCCAAGACAGCATGGTCACCTGAGCACCATTGGGAGTGACCTAACCTCCTTAGTGCAGAGGCAGGAGTAGTCACAACACCACCAGCGGCTCAAAAACAAGAAAAATAAGGACTCCAACAGAAAATACTGATAAGACATTACCTCAACTATGGGGGCACCAATGCACCTTCCACAAGAATAAAAAATACAATTCAATTTCCACTGACTATTAACTTTTTATACAAAACCAATTTATATTAAGCTTTGATTCATATTAACATATCAAGAACTACACAGATAATCTGTGACCATAGCAAGCCAGCAGGTGAAGTAAAATACAAGTACAACAGACTAGCTGCAATGACAAAACAGCACAGACATAGCACTTTAAGAATTTTTAAAGGAGAAAGATTTTTAATTATCAGTCTAACATAACTGATCTTACCACTCATCACAAATATTAAATAATAATTCCAATCAACTCTGATTTTAATTTAACAAGGTCAAGAATTTCTATTTACCATATGGAATCTCTTGATACCATAAATTATTTTGAGAAAGTTGCATATGTATTTTACTTTATTTTTGAATTGTTTCAAACCCCTGTGAAAAGAAAAATACCTGCAAATGACTCATTTCAATAAAATAAGAGAAAATATAACTTAAAAGTCAGGATTTAATGTCACAGAGGTAATTAGGGAATACTCAAAAAAAATCAAGTTTTACAGTTTTCCCCATATGCTATTCAAACACACATACCTTTTAAGACTTAACTATTTTTGCCAGCTACTGACATAAGCCATAACAAATTAAACTGTATTCTAAGGCAAAAAATATTCTCTATGAAGGTTGTCATCAAGAGAAGTAAAACAGATTAAATTTATAATTGTCTTCCCTCTCTTTTCTTCTAAGTATCAAACATCAAATTCACTGGAAGATGGGAAAAAACATGCAACTATTAAAAAAAGAATTGATCAAGGCAAATATAACAATTTAGAATTGCAAGCATTCTTAGTCCCACCACAATGATCAAGTATTTTTAATTTAACATTGTATCTATGAACTCTAGAATCTACAGTTTAAAAATAGCAAATTTTGGAGTCAAAAGATAAAGACTGGGGCCAGTTCAATAGTACAGTGGGCAGGCTGTTTGCCTTGCACAAGGCCAAATTTGGTTTGGTACCACCATCTCATACGGTTCCCCGAGCTCCAACAGGAGTGATTCCTGAGTACAGAGCCAGGACTAAGCCCTGAGCATCACCAGTGTCACCCAACATGCAAAAGAGAGAAAGAGAGAGAGAGAGAGAGAGAGAGAAAGAAAGAGAGAGGGAGAGAGAGAGAGATAAAGAATACAGCTGGGGAAGTAAAACAAAGGACTGGAGCACATGCTTTGGCAGGTTCAGTGCCCAGCAAGCATGCATGGTCACCTGGCACCTCTAGCCACCAAGTATTAATAACTGTAGCATCACCAAAAAAGACAAAAATTGACCTATTACTACTTGACTAAAGTAAATTCCTTAAAATCAATACCAATCATCTCTAAAATAATATCTATGACTGAAATGCTGGACAGATGAAATGATTATTAAGACCAAAGAGAATATACAGTGGGTAATGTACTTGCCATATATGCAGCAGACCCCACAATCCCTGGAGCAAACATATGGTCCCCTGAGTATTGCCTGGAGCTACCCTCGAGCACACAGCCAGGAGTAAGCACTGAGCACTTCAGAGTGTGACTCCCAATAAAAGTTTTTCATTATATAGAAAAAAAAAATGTTCTCAATCACAAAGCAAATTCTGCCTATTGATGCTACTGGCCCTTTAGCAAGTGGCATGGTGTGGCAAGATTGAGTCCCTAAAGCTTACGCTCTTAACACTTTTGCAAACCAATGCAACCTCAATTTTTTTCAAAGTTTAGTAACAATGGCCAGAGAGATATAGCTCAAAGAGCTGTGTACCGTGTGTATCATGCTTTACATGTGGGAGGCCTGTGTTTGTTCCCTGACACTACCTGCTCCATTGAGCAGCATGAGAGGGACCCCAAGCACAAAGCTGGGTTATAGACCCTGGGTTATAGGCCCTAAGCACAGGAGATGTGGCCCGAAGCAAGAAAAGAAAGTAATAATAGTAACACAACACATCCCTCCTACCATCTCTATCAGGAGACAAAAATTAAAAGAGAGAAATGTGACTAAGAAAAGCAAACTCTTAAATTTCAAGTGATAAAAATTAAAAGGCTTTCCTTTCTCACTTTCTTAAAATTTCCATCAAAGGGAGCAGAATCACAAGTTTTATTACTCATGCATTTATTTGCATTTTTCACATAAAGTCTCTTAAAATAATCCATGTTTCTCAGAGTTCGGTAACTATAAATTTATATACATAAATATGCATGCATGTGTGTGTATACAGAGAGAGATATACACACATACATGTGGTACAATGAACAGAAGATACAAGAGAAAATCGTATTTTTTTCTTTCACAATTCTCACAACATTAATATGCAACCTTTCAAAAAAGCTGTTTTTAAATTACAAAATATAAGCCTTACACCACAATTTTTTGAAAGGTCCCAATCCACAAGGTCTAGAACCTACCACAAAACACAACTTTTCACTGAGGTTAATCTTATTCTATTACAAAAAATGTGAAGAAAAACAAACTCCCCTCAGAGGTTGCTAATTTGAATAGAAAAGAATATTGCTCACAGTGTTTAGAGGATAATATATTCTGGGTTCACTCGATTTGTTTCCTTTACCCAAGGATAAAAAAAATTTTAGGTTAATTCCTCTCTGGCAATTATCTCTAAGTAGCTACCAACAAAAACAGAAGCCATGATAGGATCTAGTGATGGGATCTTAAGAAAATATGGGGAATCAGATGGACAAAGTAAATGAGATTTATGTGCTTTAACTTTAAACTGGCACTAAAAATCAAAATCGATTCTCGGTAATTTAAAAAAAAAAGTTGGCAAAAAACCCAACTGCAAAAAAAGCTGGGTAAAGGAAAGAGTGAAGAAACAGTTACCTGAGGCATCTCCAACTTTAAAGTCACTGTCATCTGAACTATCATAATCGAGAGCTTCTAGCAGAGAAGCTGCCAAAGGCTTCACCTGCCTCCTCTTGGAGCTGCGATCCACTGTCAAAGAGAAAAAATATTAGACCGTCATTCATAATCACACCAGGCAGAAGGGCAGCGGTGCTGAGAGAAGGTGCAGGTGACACCGTGCAGGGAATTTGTATCTATTACAGTTTTCAGCAAAAGGTCGGTCGGGGGAAGGTTGGGGTGGGAATGCTGGCTAGGAATAAGGGGCGGGTAGGGCGGCTGCAAGGGCAGCTCCAGCCTGACAGTGCAGCCACCGCGAACCTAGGTCAGACAAAATCAAAGCTGACCAATGCTCTAGCATCAACTTGTGAATTTCCTGCAGATCGCTCGAAATCCCTCAAGCAGGCATCGTCACAAGTCTATAGGCGAAGACAGTAATAAAAGCCAGGGAATGCAAGCAGCCGCGATCACTTACTTCGACGACCCGTGGAGGTCCCTCCCCAAAGCCCCCCTGGTCCCGCCACGCCTGACTTCTTCTACAAGGGCTCAGATGCACTTTTCTCCCCGCGGAGGCCTCCCACACACTTACTAAGGAATCCGTGAGGTGGTCGTTTGGAGAAGACCTAAGCAGAGGCTGCGAGAGCCCGAGCAGCGCCGAGGTCGGGGACTGGGACCGCGGAAACAAGTCCGAAGATGCTATTTAAAAGCGGCGCCTCGGACCGGCCTCGGGAGCCCCCGGCACGCCGGCCCCGCCGTCCCCTCCCGCCCCCCGCCCCCCAACCCTCGCAGACCCGGCCTCGGCCGCTAGCTCCCCTCCCCACGGTGCGCCCGACGGCTCTGGCAGCGCGGCCAGCCCTCCGGCCCTGGGGAAGCGATTCCCCCCCGTTAAAACGACTAGAAAAAATAATTTTTTAAACTTTATTAGCCTGCACCAGAAAGCAACAAAAGACCCACGTAACTGACACAGTCCGAGGCCGGTTGCTTGAGACAATAGGGAAAGCAACGACCCGGATACAGCTCGGAAAGACAAGGAAGTGAAAACACTCCGCGAGTGTGGCCCTGAGAGCAGCAGGAGCCGACTGCGCATGTGCCGGGCTCGCCGCGGCACCTCCTCCGCGAGGAGGGGCTTAACAGGGCCGAGGGGAGCCGAGGAGAGCCGAGGGGAGCCGAGGGGAGCCGAGGGGAGTCGAGGGGAGCCGAGGGGAACCGAGGGGAGTCGAGGGGAGCCGAAGGAAGCCGAAATGGAGAAGTGGCCGAGGAGGAAGGCTGAGGCGGGTGGGAGCAGTGTTGGAGGACTCTGCTAGACCTTGCGAGGCTCGCGCCTCCGTACTCTTAATCTTGTCTTTAGTGCAAATCCGTGAAAAGCCAATACTTGTTTCCAATCTTTTTATTTTAAGGATTTCCTCAGAGTAAGCTTCCCGGAGCTGGATCAATAGCACAGCGGGTAGCGCATTTGCCTTGCACGCATCGGACCTGGGTTGGATTCCCAGCATCCCATATGGTCCCCTGAGCACCGCCAAGCGTTAATTCCTGAGTGCAGAGCCAGGAGTAACCCCTGTGCATCGCTGGGTGTGACCCAAAAAGAAAAAAGAGAGAAGTGTTCCACAAAGGGAAGTTTGCTGTCACCCATAAAACCCCAAAACAGTGACCAGAGTGCCTTATCTTCTTACATGTAGTGACGGGGCCCTGTTTCTCTCCCTGTTACCACATGACTTTCAGCTGGGTGTAACGTCGCATATGCCCAGTGTGGCGGAAAAAAAAAAGAACAAGAATACTGACAGCTATACTTAGAAATGGTCTTTCAGGCTATTTCTACAAAAGGAAGTGACTAGCATAATGTCGATGTGGACAATTGCTACAGAAAAACAAAAACCAAACAGAAACAAAAGACAGCCACCATTTGGTATCAAGTGCTTATTTATAGAAAAATTAAGATGAAAATTATAAATACTGAGCCAATAGCCTTTGGAAGATTGGAAAAGAATACTTCCAAACCTAGGATTTTAAATTTCTGATTCAAACTTGTGAAAAGAAAAACACAGCTTCTGTGATTGCTCTAAATAAGGCTTATGACCCTTGCCATTATCACTATGGTGGGGTGGGGAGCTGAATAATTATTTTAGGGAGCTGCCATATGCATTCAGGGATGTTTACCAGGATTCCTGGGAAGTACCCACTGATGCCAATAATAACTGCTTTTCACCCACGTTTCACAACCAAAAATGTCTGGTCATTGCCAAATACTCCTGGGTGTGCATCAAAATCACCATCTCTAAATCCTCCATTGAGAAACATTACTCTTAAAGAATTTCATCTCGTGTAGCAATAATAAACATGTTTCATAGTGTAAGTTGCAGATTTCATGCCAGATAATAAGAATTAGATACGTTTGTTGTCTAAGAAATGGTGCCCTTGAGAATTGGCAGTTGGTGCTCAGATACACAGAGACTTAAAGTAGATATAGACCCTCATCACTTGATTTAGTTCTTTCTTTCCTGTCTATGTTACTTTCCTTATTTAAGACTTTGTGATATGTGACCTCACCTGAGACCATTGCTGTGCAAAAAGATGCTGATTCTCTTCTTGACCATTATTGATTTTCTCATTGTATCTTATGACTAGTAAGAAACAAAGACTCCCATGTGACAAGGGAACTATTTTTATTTTTATGCTGGTAATTGAACCCAGGGATTCAAACATACAAAGTTTGTACTCTACCACTAACTATATCACCTGAATTCAATAGAACAAATTCTGATCCTGATTCTGAAAGAGATCATAGTCTCACTTATACTAAAAATAGCTGCCTTGTGTTTAAGGAGGAGAATTTGGGCCACATCTGTTAGTGTTTAGAATCTAATTCTGGTATGGTACTTGGGAATATCATCTACAGTGCTCAGGGCATCATGCAGTGTCAGGGATGGAATCAAAGTCTTCCACGTGCAAACTATGCACACTTACTTTTTCAGGTATATTGCTGGCTCTGATTGCCTTATGTTTGGTAGCATTTTTTCTTTTGATGTTGTGGAGAAGTGTATGTGTAGAAGGGTGTCTCTGGATGTTGAGTAAACAAAGGAAAAACTCAAAATCTATTTCTACCACTCTTTTTTTTTTCCTGTTTGGGTCATACCAGGTGATGCTCAGGGGTTACTTCTGGCTCTGCATTCAGGAATTACTCCTGGCAATGCATGGGAGACCAAGTGGGATTCCAGGGACCAAAACTGGGTCAGCCTCATGCAAGGCACATGCCCTACCCACTGTACTAACACTCCAGCCCCTACCCACTTCTTATTCCATAGCGCAAGGTATGTAGAATAAAAACATTCCTTGTCTCCTTCAAAACAAGTATATAAGTTATACTGATATGATGGACTTTGATGGTTTGAAAGAAAAGGAAGTTGTGGATTTCCTGTGCCAAGAGACAAGTTAGTTCCAGTAGGTGTACACACTTTGGGATGTACTAACCAGACTCCTTGTTCTAATGCCTATATAACTGTTGTGAGTTGTAGGTATTTATTGTGTGAGCAGTCACAAAGGCAGCAGCAGTACTGGCTTCCTGACAACTCCATTGCAGATACAGTTGTGTAGTAGTCTTGGCCAAATTCCAGATGCAGTAAGAAAAGGTCATGATGAAATTACTTAAGTCCAAAGGAATCATAAATTCACCAAGAAGGGAAAGAATAGGAATCGGATTCAAATTCATACTCCCAACAACAATTCTGGTTGACTTCAAATGCCTAAAATAATTTCACTTTTTACTAATAAAGTGATAAAATGTACAACAAATTATAATAATAATTAATCATCGATTCGCTAGTAGAGCGGGTCCAGTAATGTCTACATTGTGAGACTTGTTGCTGTGTTTGGCACATCGAATATGTCATGGGTAGCTTGCCAGGCTTTGCTGTACAGGCAAGATATCTCGGTAGTTTGCCAGGCTCTCTGAGAGGAGTGGAGGAATTGAACCTGAATTGGCCAGTCAGCCATGTTTAAGGCAAACGCCCTACCCGCTGTGCTATCGCTCCAGCCAGGGCCTTGCACGCAGCCAACCAGGTCAGCCCAGGTTCAATTCCTCCGCCCCTCTCAGAGAGCCTGGCAAGCTACGGAGAGTATCTTGCCCGCATGGCAATGCCTGGTAAGCTCCCCGTAACATATTGGATATGCCAAACAAAGTAACAACAAGTCTCACAATGGAGATGTTACTGGGCCCACTAGAGCGAATCGATGAACAACGGGAGGACAGTGACAGTGACAATATATAATACATAGACAATTTCCTGATAATAATTAATAAATAATAAAATATATAATTACTCTTAAAATTGTATTAAAATTACCAAATACAAAAATTTGTCTAAAAAATTGGGCAGCAAAAAATGGTTCTTTAGATGATTGAATAAAATTTTTAAAAAATGGTTCTTTAAATAGTAGTAAAATTGTCATCTACATACAGAACAAATGGTATTAAAATTAAGATTTATTAATTTTTCAAAGAGTTTAGACAAAGTATAAATTTTGATTGTTTTTTTTGGAGGGGGTCAACCCAGAGTACTCAAGGGTTACTGTTGGCCCTGTGTTCAGAGATCAGTCCTGGCAGGTTTGGGGACCATTGAGATGCCTGGGATTGATCCAGGGTTGGTCATGTGCAAGGCAAATGCCCTACCCTGTGTACTATCTCTCAGGTCCTACAAAGTATAAAATTTTACAATGCGTAAAAGCTAAATATTTATCTTACTTCGGTACTCCAGTCAGTCTGTTATCTTTAGACATAATACAAACAAACAAACAAACAAACAAACACTGTCCTCCCGTTGTTCATTGATTTGCTCAAGCAGGCCCAGTAACGTCTCTATTTTTGAGACTTGTTGTTACTGTGTTTGGCATATTGAATACGTCATGGGTAGCTTGCCAGGCTATGCTGTGGGGGGTGAGATACTCTCAGTAGCTTGCCGGGCTCTCCGAGAGGGGTGGAGGAATCGAGCCGGGCTCTGTCGGTCTAGCTGTGCACAAGGCAAATGCCCTACCGTTATGCTATCACTCCAGCCCTTAGACATAATAACAAGGTTTAAAGATACTCAGAGCTCTCAAGGATAAATTTTTATAAAAGATTTAAGCAGATATAATTCATATACCATATAATTCACTCTTTGTGGTACATAATTAATTTTTAGCATTTTGTAGGGTTACACAATCGGGCTGGAGAGCACAGCAGGTAAGGCGTTTACCTTGCACACCGCGATCTGGCTGACCCAGGTTTTATTCCTCCGCCCCTCTCGGAAAGTCTGGCAAGCTACCAAGAGTATATCGTCCTCCCGGCAAAGCCTGGCAAGGTATCCATGATGTATTTGATATGCCAAACACAGTAACAAGTCTCACAATGGAGATGTTACTGGTGCCCACTCGAGCAGATTGATGAACAATGGGAGGACAGTGCTACAGTGCTACAATACCCCAGCAAGAAAATCCATACTCATTAGCAGCTACTTCTTTACCTCTGAGAATGATTAATTGACGATTTGCTAATTCTAGATATTTCATATAAATGGAATGGAAAAAATGTTCAATTACCAAGTGATTTCATTCATATGTAAAACATGAATAATTAAAACTACTGTCAAAAAGTAACAAAACTAGACTTGGTGAAAACTTCCTGGGATGGGATGACTGAATGAGTCCAGAGGTCTTTCTGATGGTAACATAACTGGAATTTTGATGTTGAAATATTACATATATATGAATTGTGAAGCTAAACCCCCCTGTAAACCAAAATTTAATAACAAAATTAATTTTAAAAAGCCATCTTGTATTTCTGTTTTCATTTACCTAGTATATTGTTTTATTAATAATCCATTGCAACATGATTTTAAATTAGTGTAATATAAAATGTCATTACTTGTGAAATGTTAATATTTGTTCTCCATGGAGAAAAGACAAACGTGTGAAGTAGATATTTCAACATTTGCTGTGAGGGCTGTTTATCAGATAGATCTCTTACACAAGCTAAGGTACTTAATCATGTTTCAATG